AATAAGCTGTGGAAAATGCCTTTTGCAATTTCATTGCCACTCACTCTCCAGGTTTCTTCACTGCTGGCATAAACAAGCTACCCTTAAGATAGCAAAATTGTGTCAATAGTTTAGATGCATAATTTGATTAATTGTACTTCTTCTTGTTTGAGATATAATAAACTAAACTTTTGATTCAAAATCGGACATTTCCTATTTAATGACTTAATATAATCTTACAGGACCACCACTGTATATGCAATCTGTTGACTGTATTTGTAAATGTATCGGTTTATTTCTGGGCTATATATCCTATCTCATTAGCTTATTTGTCTATGTTGGCATAAATGCCTTCATTATTATTAGCTTTATAGTAATTCTTAATAATTTTGGAAGACCTACTCTGCCTAGGAGTAGGAAGACCTACTCTCCCTTGTTCTTCTTGCAAGGAACACTGGTCCTCTATCATGGTGTGCATTAGAGTCACCTGAAAGGCTTGTTAAAACAGGTTGCTAGGTCTCACACCCAGAGATTCTGACTTTGTAAGTCTAGTGTACAGTCTGAGAATTTGCATTTCTAACAAATGCCTAGGTGATGCTGTTGCTGCTGGTCAGCTGACTGAGGTCATACTCTGAGAACCACTTGGTCTATACTCTAGACCAGGATGTCAGTGGGCCAGTTATTTCTTAAAGAGGCAGGAAGTGACTATTTTAGGTTTGTGGGCCATTCTGGTCTCCGCACAAAGTAGCCATAACGATAGATAAACAAGCAGGCTGGTTATGCTCCAATAAAACTTTATAAAAACAACCAGCAATAGTTCACTTTCTCTTGCTATAGGCTATTCCAGTCCTTTAAATTGCCATAGAAATTGCAGAATCTCTTCTCAAGTTACACCAAAAATCTACTGAAAATTTATTTGGGATTGCACTAATTCTATGTATTCTGCCTATAAATTTTGAGAACTGACAGCGTTTATAAAACTGAAAAGTCAAGTCAAATCTCTTACCTTTTAAATAAGTTTGCTTTAAACTCCCTCAACAATGTTTTCTCATCTTCTGTGTAGTGATCTTGAACCACTTTTAAGATTGATCCTTCTTTCATATTACTGCTTTCATATCTACCACCCAGCACCAAAAGCCATTAAACTATAGACAATCTACCCCCACATACCTCTCCATTTCCTATATTTTGTTGAGGCAACCCATCATTTAAAAAAATATTTTAGTATGCATTTCTAAAAAATAACACTTAACAATATCATTATTATACCTTTTTAAAAAGTTATTTAAAATCAAATATACTGTCAATGTTAAAAATTCCAATTATGTCATCAATATCATAAATGATTTTATATTAAAAGTTTTTTCTTTTTTCTAAATTAGGATCCAAAAAAAGGTTAACATATTGCAATTGATTGGTATGTCTGGGTTGTTTTACTGTGTATGTATTTTTAAAGTTTTTCATTTTCTGTTTGATTCTGGTATAAAGAAACAAACTAACTGTTCATATTTATTTTTTGTAACATTTCAACCTGTTCAATTCTTAATTATAACAATTATATAAAATGCTTTGGGATTTTCTATCCATTAGCTCATTTCAACTACAAATATTGGTGGTGGTAGTTGTTCTTTTCCTTTTTTTTTTTTTTTAAAAGACAATCTTGTTCTGTTGTCCAGGCTGGAGTGCAGAGGTGCAATCAGAGCTCACTGCAACCTCCCACTCCTGGGCTCAAGTGATCTTCCTGCCTCAGCCTCTCAAGTAGCTAGGACTACAGGCACATGCTGCCATGCCCACCTAATTTTTTTAAATTTTTGGAGAGATGGGAGTTTCACTATATTGCGCAGGCTGGTTTTCAACTCCTGACCCTCAAGCGATCTTCCCATGGTAGCCTCCTGAAGTGATAACAGGTGCGAGTCAATGCACTTGGCCCTTTTCCTATTCTTTTTTTTTTTTTTTTTTAAGGCAGAGTCTCACTCTGTTGCCCTGGCTAGAGTGAGTGCCGTGGAGTTAGCCTAGCTCACAGCAACCTCAAACTCCTGGGCTCAAGCGATCCTACTGCCTCACCCTCCCGAGTAGCTGGGACTATAGGCATGCGCCACCATGCTCAGCTAATTTTTTTTTCTATATATTTTTTAGTTGTCCAGATAATTTCTTTCTATTTTTTTAGTAGAGACGGGGTCTCGCTCTTGCTAAGGCTGGTCTCGAACTCCTGAGCTCAAATAATCCGCCCGCCTCGGCCTCCCAGAGTGCTAGGATTACAGGCGTAAGCCGCTGCGCCTGGCCCCTTTTCCTATTCTTAAACTTTCTTTTTCTTGCCTTATGTCCTAGCTTAGCCTACAGAATAATACTAAATAGATGTGGTGATAGTGATCATTCTGATTTGTTCCAGGTACCATCAGGAAAGTGCTCGAAGTTTCACCATTAAATATGATGTTTGAAGTAGGTTATCTGAATTTACTGTAGGTCTGTTTCTGTTGGTTTTCATTTATAGTCCTTCTTTCTTCATGTATAGAGAGTTAACTCTGTTTACTGCTTATTATCCTTGAAAAATTATTTGGGGGAATTCTTTGAGAACTAGAATAAAGGTTCTTTCCTCCAGGGAAAGAGCATTTGTTTCTGTTTTCTAGGCCCCTACACTCCCAATTACTTTAATTTCACAGACTAGTGTAAATTTGAGCTGCAAATTTGCTTCTGGTCACTTTTATCCTAGGGATACAGTACTTCAATGTAGGAAGGGACTCCTTAAACTTAAGTAGTCTCTGATTTCTGTCCCCTTTGCCTCTTGACAGACTTAAAATTGAAGTTCAAGCTTGCCCAAATGAATAAATGCCCTCAAGACAGAACTAGCATCCTTACCTTCCCTTAGATTTTGGCCTAGCAATTCCCTCTGATGTTTTGATGCTTTTAAGATACTGTTAATATTTTATCTCACACCTCAGCTATCCTCAAGCAAAAAAAAAATCCTCTCAATAACCTTTACTACCACTTCTAGAAAAGCAAAGTCCTTTTCCCACTTTATGTAAGAACTTTTATGAGAAACTATGGCTAAATTTTATATTTCTTGCATCTATTAATAACATATTTTCCTTTATAGCGTTATGAAACCGATTACCTTGAAAGATTTTCTAATAGTCAACCCATCCTGCATCGTTAGCATAAACTCCAGTAATCATTCTTTTAATAATTCCAATAGAGTATTCTTTTAATATCTCACTAGCTACGGTTTATTTAAAACATTTTCATCTGTATTCAATAGGGAAACTAGTTGATAGCTTTCTTTTGTTGTACTATGAGGTTTCATTATTAAGATTGTGCTAGCTTCATAAAATATATTTAGATATTTTCTATCTTTTTCTATGATCTGGAATAGTTTAAATTGAAATTACCATTTCTTTAAAGGTTAGATAAGAATTCAGAGTAATTTCTAAAAACAGATGTATTTTCTAAAGACAGATTTTTAAAGCAGAAGACCTAGTCTGCTCAGGTTTTCTACTTCTTGGTCTGGTTATTTACATATGTAATCTTTTTAATTTCTCAATACATAGACCCAATACATAACATGAGACCTTCACCTTTTCTGAAATGCAGCCTTTTTCTTTTCTTTCTTTGGTTCCACCCCTAACCACCACCCCTCTTCCCTTCACTTTAGCATCCACCTCCCAAGGCTAATACACATTTTTCCATATTTTTCTCTGTGTTCCCACAGTCCTATGTATACATACATATTATGCTTTACAAAATGGGACTTTATAAACACCTTTCTCCATTTCGTTTTTCTTGCTCATAATGAGGAGGAAAAAGATAAAATTATTTTTTTGTTATTTTATGTGCATAGTCTTATCAGGTTATGGTCACAAATAATGTAAACTAGAAAACCAAAACATTTCTTTTTATAATTTACTACATGGTAATTTTTTAAAAGCGTTTCAGGAACGTAATAAAAATGTCTTTTTCTTTTTTTTTTTGAGACAGAGTCTCCCTGTGTTGTCCAGGCTGCAGCATCAGCCTAGCTCACAGCAACCTCAAACTCCTGGGCTCAAGCAATCCTCCTACCTCGGCCTCCTGAGTAGCTGGGACTACAGGCGCATGCCATCATGCCCAGCTAATTCTTCTATTTCTAGTAGAGATGGGGTCTCACTCTTGCTCAGCCTGGTCTCTAACTCCTGACCTCAAGTGATCCTATTGCCTCAGGCTCCCAGAGTGCTAGGATTACAGGTGTGAGCCACTACACTTGGCCAATAAAAATGTCTTGACAGAAGAATGGCATCTGGGTGAGACCCTATTTTCTCTCAGTTGTCAGTATACATTATGTTTTTTTTTCTATTATCTAGTACAGAAGACAAAAAAATCAGATGCTATTTTGACTAGCTTTCCTTTGTAATTTCTCCTATCCACAAACCTGAAAGACTTTTTTTCTTTATCCTTAAAATCCAGTGAATTTATAAGGATGTGTTTAGATTTGTGTCTTTCTTGACATCAGAAACTCCATAGATTTTCTGATGAATCATATAATTGTGGTCTTCATCCTTAGGCTCTAAAAACAGGCAACCTCTCTCCCTTGGCTAGTCCCTCAGTTCTTGACAAGAAAAAAAGAGAAACAAAGCCTGTACCTGTCATCTCCTTGGAGACCTATGGAAACCTGTGAGCAAAGACTCACTCAACTGTCTTGTTCATTGAATTATTCCAGAAGAAACTGGAAGGGTGAGAGAAATGGGATATGTACTCAAACCACCAGCTGTCTGGTGTTTACTATTAATCCTAAATCAATAATTTCACACCAATTATTACATGAAATTATTCTTAGCTTTCATAACCTTGATCCTAATGTTTTAAGTTCAAATGTCTTCTACGGAAGCTGTGTAGAATTTAAATCTCGATTCTTACAAGGAATGAGAAACTTAACAAAAATAACTTCATTTTAGGTAAAATTAAACGAAATCTGCAACAAAGAACCAAACAATCTCAGTAAACTGCCATCAACTTTCTGGCATCTGTATTTCCAGGACATTCTGTTACTATACCTGATCATGTATGTCAACCATTACTGCATTCTGCTGGGGTGGATGAGCAGCAGGATGTAACAGACGGGGAGATACATTCGGAGGGTGGAAGGCTCGAGGCTCCTCTATTGCTTGCTGCTGTGCATAAGGAAGATGGTGATAGTTTTCATCTTGACTAACGGAATTATGTCGAGACAGACGATCCCTTCTTCCTCTCTGGCGTCTGACAGGAGGACTGTAATATAGTAAATATCAAAAGTCATTATAATGTTTACTGCTGTGATCCATCAGGATTCTGTATGCTCTCTTTGTTATCAATCAACAGTATATATTAAAGTAAGCTCGAGTATTAAATAATTGCTGAGGTTCTTCATCAGCTCCAAAAACTTATGGATTTAAACACAAAGTGTATGTACACACACACACACACACACACACACACATATATATATATATATATTTTTTTTTTGAGACAGAGTCTCACTCTGTTGCCCAGGCTAGAGTGAGTGCCGTGGCATCAGCCTAGCTCACAGCAACCTCAAACTCCCGGGCTCAAGTGATCCTCCTGCCTCAGCCTCCCGAGTAGCTGGGACTACAGGCACGTGCCACCATGTCCGGCTAACTTTTTCTGTATATTTTTTAGTTGTCCAATTAATTTCTTTGTATTTTTTTAGTAGAGACGGGGTCTCGCTCTTTCTCAGGCTGGTCTCGAACTCCTGAGCTCAAACAATCCACCTGCATCGGCCTCCCAGAGTGCTAGGATTACAGGTGTGAGCCACCGTGCCCAGCCTACATATATTTTTTAAATAATGAAAACAATATTGTATTCAGAGTATTTAGCTCTGAAAGTATTTAGAAATCAATAGCTAACGAGTCTTTTTAAAATATTATATAAAACTGCCCTTTTTGTAGGTAAAAAATAAATATCAGCAGTTTCATATGGCTTAACCTATTATTTTCCTCCCTTTATAAATATTATAATAAGCAAACTTTAATCCGTAGATATCTTGTCAGTATTCCTCATATACATAATGAGCACTTTGTGCTTTTATATTTGGCTAAGACATACATAAGGTACAGTTTCTATCTGCCCAAAATGGTATTTTTAAAAAATGAGAATAGAAGAAAAGATGAAATAACTAAAGATCATACAATTTACTGACAACTGCAAATACAACAGTAACTGAGTTAATACTGAGAATGGATTATGACTGACAGTGTCAGCATAAATAGTATGAGAATATACAGAATTTTTTTTTTTTTTTTTTGCGACAGAGTCTCACTCTTTTGCCTGGGCTAGAGTGCCGTGGCGTCAGCCTAGCTCACAGCAATCTCAAACTCCTGGGCTCAAGCAATCCTTCTGCCTCAGCCTCCCGAGTAGCTGGGACTACAGGCACGTGCCACCATGTCCGGCTAACTTTTTCTGTATATTTTTTAGTTGTCCAATTAATTTCTTTGTATTTTTTTAGTAGAGACGGGGTCTCGCTCTTGCTCAGGCTGGTTTCGAACTCCTGAGCTCAAACGATCCGCCAGCCTCGGCCTCCCAGAGTGCTAGGATTACAGGCATGAGCCACCGCGCCCGGCCCAGAATTTTTAATTAGAACCTGCTTATTGAAGCAAACCACATTTATTCTCCATGTACTAGTCATCTACATAGTTTAATAAAAATTTTGTCATTGTAACTAAACTTTCATTTTCTACTTCTCTTTACTTCCATAATTCACCTCCACTGATTTTTACAATGGCTCAGCACAAAAGCAATTTAATAAAAGGGCCTTACTAAAATGTATCCACGTTGGGCAAAGGAGGCCAAACATCTCTCTTCTAGGCAAAGTTAAAAACGCCATCTCAGCAACCTTTTTTATTGAGGTAGGTCACTTTTTTCTCAATCTTCCCACTTTGTACCTCTAAATCTGTTTCTTCTCACTACAAATTCTCTAATCTTAAGAGAACAAGGGATATTCCTTTGCAAGATCAACTCAATAGTACTATTGACACTATTCTCCCAGGTTCTTGCTCCACTAATTGTTTCCTCTATCTTTAATTTTAGAACAACTTTTTGTATTTTTGTTTCCAGATCTACAGATTGTATTTTACTGAATTCAAGAGGCCATCTACCTTAGTACTAAAACCTTTTTATTTTGAAATAATTTTGGTATAGTATTTCTGCATACCCCTCACTCAGCTTCCGTTAATGTTAATATCTGCCATAACCAGAGAACAGTTATCAAAATTAAGGGATAAATTGATACCATACTATTAATTAAACTACAGAATATATTTGGACTTCACCCATTTTTCCACCATTGTCCCTCACTGTTTCAGAATATAATTCAGGATCCCATATTGCATATAGTTGTCATGTGTCCTTAATCACCAATTTGTGACAATTTGAGTCTTTTCTTGTCTTTCATGACCTTGACACCTCTGAAGGTATTAGTCATTCACTCTGCAGAATGCCCCTCATCCTGAGTTTATCTGATGTTTCCTCACCTTCTGCCTTTAAGGGTATGCATTATTGGGAAAGAGATGACAGAGGTGATATGCCACTTTTAGTGTATCACATGAAATCAATATACATCACTGGCGATAACAACATTAATCACATGGCTAACGAGGTGTCTGCCAGGACTCTCCACTACAAAGTTATCATTCTTCCTTTTGTAATTACCAAATATTTGGGGAGAGATACTTTCAGACTATGCAAATATCCTGCTTCTTCTCAAAGTTTCACCAGTAATTTTATCATGCATGAATGGATCTGTAGCAATCACTACCTATGTTGTTCTAGTGGTGATTTTTTATTTCCGTCAGTTTTTCTATATTTATTAATTGGAATTCTTCTATAAGAAAGAATTGTTACTTTACTTTCTTATTCAGTTATTTATAATCAATATGGACTCACGGATATTTATTTTATTCTTTGGGTTATAATCCATACTATTATTTTATTTTTTTCAAATTACTCCAATGGGAACACTTTTAGTTTGGCTCTGGTGCTTTTTCAGTATGTCCCTATCCTTTTGAGCACTTCCTTAATATATGGTGCCACAATGTGCTCCAGGTTCATCCTGTAGTTTCCCTACCCAGCCCTGGAATGAACTAGCTCTCCAAAGAGCCCTGGTTCCTCTGACTACTGATTGGTATTTAGAAGCCAAGATCAGGTGCTAGTTGTACTCACTGCTACCACTAACTCACTGTTTCTAGGCTCTCATGTCTATGTACGTATCAACATTTTTTATTAAATATTTTAAAGGATTATCTTATGTATTACTAAAAAGAAAAGTTGCCAAACAAACTATGCTAGACCAATTTTGTCTTTATTAGATGTTAATATGTGAAAAAATGTGCACCTTAAAATGAAAATGGAATACATACACTCAGATCACTCATCTCCCTTAAAAAACCCAACCTATCCACAAACCTAAGAACCCTTTTTAATAAGTTTTTTCTGTCAATTGTTGCCACTGGATCTTACTTCCCCACTCAAAAACAATTTCAATAGTTCTTCAACTAATCACAAAATAAGATCTAGTCCTCATCCTGACACAAGTTCCCTCATGATTTTGAGCCCTATATTTCCTATATTGTCTCTCATTAAATCTATTATATGTGCCTTATGGTAGAATTTTTAAGAAGCAGAATTATTAGAAAATCTCTAAATGAGAAACAGTGATTAAATGATGGACAAATATTTCTTTCAGTTGAAATATTTCTGCCAGTGATTCATATATACTTTATCATTTTGTTTTAGGTATAACACTTGTACATAGCACAAAGTATGGATTTTGTGCTGGCCTCACTTTTTTGCCTTCTGTTGCACTAAGTTTTCTATTTATGTTGTTTATCTATATAAATACTCTATTCTTCTCATGATTAGTCTTAAATTTCCCAACAAATACTTTCATTTTTCTAAAATCATCTAATCAGGATTCTTGGGGAGGGGAGTTAATATACCTTTACTTCTCTCTGTTCTGCTCCCATCTCATATTCAGACATTTTCTGTATTTCTTTCTTTTTTAAGCAACATTATTGAGACTTAGTAGTGTGTCTTTTTGTTTTCTTTGTTAACCAATGGTCTTCAACCCTACTTCTTACGGTTTATTATTCTGCTTCCTGGATATAGTACAATATCTAATAATAAAGTTGTCCCTTGGTATCCATGGTGTATTGGTTCCAGGAGTCCCCTGCCACGGACACCAAAATCTGTAGATGCTCAAGTCGCACAGTTGGTCTTGTGGGATCAAGGATACCACGAGTCAGCCCTCTGTATCCACAGGTTCCATATTCCAAGAATACTGTATTTTTGATTCACGACTGGTTCAACCCACGTTGATACAGAGGGAGGATCTCTTACTGGCCAACTTTCTGAGTCTGAATGTTTGCAAATGCTTTTATATTTTGACTTTATATCAAATAAGTGAACTGACAGAATTCAAAATAAAAAACAATTTTCTCATAACTTTGAAGAGTTAGTCTACTGTCTTCTTATATCCAATGCTCTTAATAAGAAGCTTGTGGTCAGTCTGGTTCCCACTTCTTTGTGGATAGTATTTTCTGTCTTGGGATGTTTGTGAATTTTTATTTATCCTTGGTGTCTTTTCTCTGTGCTGGAATTTCACTAAGATCCTGTTCAAAACTCAGTCTTGTAGCCTTCTGGAAATATTATTAGACATATTCAGAACTGATGACTCTGTCTCGATACTTAAATTTACTTTTCCACACTTTCCATTTTGCCTTTTTATAACACATTCTGGGAAATTTCATCCATTTGATCGTCCAGAAACTTACTCAGTTTTTCTGCCCATTTATTAAGTTTTACCAACTAAGATTTCTAGTTGATTTTTATGGATGCAATATCCCTCTTGTATCTCTCATATTACACTTACTCTAAAATTTGATTTTGCTTAATTCCACTGTTTCTTCAGGTTCTTCTGTTAATTATTGGGTTTAATGCCCCTATTTATTTAAGTTGTTCTATTGCATTTAATGCCCCTCTTTCACTTTGTTGGTTTTCTTATATGCTCGGCAATTTCCTGGTTTTGTGCTCTCCTTTGTATCTGAAATCCTGCTAGATTACTGTTACAAATTGCATCTGCTTGGCATAGCCTACTTATGGGAGAAAATCTGGCAACTAAGTTCATAGCTAGCCTATACTAAGTGGTAAGTGAGAATATAATAAGGAATAAGACACACTGCTGAACAAAATAAGCCAGTTTTCTAGGTAGTAAATGCTCTCTACTCTTCCCTCGTGTTGCCATGAACAAAAAGCATGATGCTTCTAACCAACTGAAGAACACATAGTGGCTGGGTGCTATAGCCCATGCCTGTAATTCCAGCACTTTGGGAAGCAAGAGTATAGCTTGAGGCCAGGAGTTCAAGATCAGCCTGGGCAACATAGCAAGACCCTGTCTCTAAAAAAATTTAAAAATTAGCCAGGTGTGGCGGTGTGCACCTACAGTCCCAGCTACTCAGCAGGCTGAGGGAAGGAGGACCGCTTGAGCTCAGGAGTTCAAGGTTACACAGAAGTATCATTGCATCACTACAGCCTGGGTGACAGAGATCTGTCTCTTAAAAAAAAAAACAGAAAAACCCACACTCAGCTAGTTACTATTAACATCTGTAAACAGATATTTCTGACACTCCCTTCCTGGTCTAAGGCATTTCCTACGACCTAAAAATTCTACTCCTAGGTTTATATCTTAGTGAAATTTTTATACATGTACACAGGGAGATGTGCATGTCAAGGTTCCTAATAGTAATCTTTATAATAACTAGAAATTGGCACAACTGTATCACAGTAAAAATAAATGAACCACTGCGACCAACATTAAAAACAGAATGCTAATAAACGAAGTCTAAGAATACATTTAAATGAAAACAGGCAAAAACCAAAATCACGTTGTTTAAGAATACATCCAAAAGTATTAAAAACTGTAACAAACAAAGGAATGCTGCCAAACTCCAGGACAAGGTTACTCTCTAGGAAGCAGGAAGGGGAATGGTAACACCAGAGGGAGTTTTGGGGAATCAGTAACACTATTTTGACCTAGGTGTTGGGTACATGTGTTTGTTATCCTAACTGCATATTTGTTTTGCATGTTCTTCTGAATGTATGACACAATTTACCAAGAAACAGGAAAAGACTACAGCAGGTACTTGGGCTATAACTTTGAAACAACCTTATTTCCTCATACTTATTATATCTAATAGCTACAACATAATTTACCTGACATTTTACTTAAAATTCCCATATAATTGGTTAATAAGGTACTAGGCAATATAAAAGTCTTAGTGTCTCAACAGAAGACAGCTCAGACACAGTTTGTTTTGTCTCATTTGGAACACAGAATGATGGTTTCAAGATCCCTTCTGCATTAGTCTGCCATAACAAAGCCCCACAAACTGGGTGGCTTAAACAGAAACTTATTTTGTTAAAGTTCTGGAAGCTAGAGGTCTGAGATCAAGGTGCCAGCATGCTTCACTTCTGGAAAAGGGATCTTTTCCCAGCTTAGAGATGATCATCTTCTCACTGCATCCTCACAGGGAGAACAGTGAGTTCTTTAATGACCTCTCTTCTTATAAGGATGCTAATTCCGATGGATAAGGGCCCTACCTTTATGACCTCATTTTAACCTTAATTAATTCCTTAGAGGTCATGTTGCCAAAAACAACCACACTAAGGGTTATGGCTTCCACATATTAACTGGGGAGGGAGGAGACAAACATCCAGTCCATAACATGTTCCTAACTCAAGATTCATTACTATTCCTTAGATTATCAACATCCTGAACACACAAACAGGTATCTCATCCTAAGGATACACTATTTCCCTGAAATAAGACATATGACCTCAGGCAACAACTAAAGAGGAAGAAAATCAGGAACAAATGCATTCCTCTGTGAAGAAAAGGCAAGGGCCAAGTTCCAGAGAAGAGAGGCCTGAAAGGTGAACTAAACTTCAGTCATCCTTTCATATCACAGGTTCCACAGTTTTATAAGAAACATAATTAAGCTCCTAATTGCCTTAGAGGATATAGAAGGAACAGGAATGAAGAGTAATTTACATCTAAGGTATCCATTTTATGAACTACAGAAAGTATTTTCCAGTAATCAGGATTGCAGGCTGACACACAAAAACTCTTAAACCATGAGGCAGCTGAATTCATATATAATGGCATGGATTGACTTCAGGTGAATCACTGTAGCCTCTTTCAATTTCTTCACCTGTCAATTACAAGCTAAATGAACTATCATGACCTAGGGCAGGCACCTAAACAACTTACAATGTTGTTTTTTTATGTGTGAATGTGTGTGTACATATGTTGATGTGTTTATGAAATGCCTAGAAAAAATGCTTTCTGATGTTAAAAAAATATTCACAAAGTTAGTAAGGGAAGGAAATTTAAGAAATAAATTGTAATCAACTAACCTTCTTCTGTTGCGTGCAGGTGTGTTGCATCGTTCCCCTGAGAAGTGATGTTGGCTTGGTCGAACTGAAGGGGGCTGCCTATTTGATGTCATCTCCCATGGTCGCATTGGTGGTGAGGGAGCTGGTGATGCTGATGTATAATCAAAGACTGAATGAGAGAGGCGCTGTCTCTTGGGACTTGGACTATCTTCACTCTGCCAATGCAACAAAATGGATCAACTGAGTAAGACCTTTAAAGGATTTCACGTTACTGTATATGCACAGGTGTTTAAATATATTTAACTTAAAAACGTAAAGGAGGCAAAAAAATGTATATATTTGCTATCAAACCAAATTAAAAACCTTTAAAAAATGATGGGGTAGGGTAAGAAGGGAGATGCACAGTAAATAATATTAAATGAAAAATGAACTTTGTTTTTAAAAACTCATCACAAAACACGAGGTAACAACATATAGGGCATACAACAGTGCAATAAACTTTTGTATAGTACTTGACCTTTTCTTTAAAATCCCAATCAACCTGATAAATTCCACTACACTCTCCTGATCAGTTATCAGTTATACTCTTTTAGGCGTCAATTCTCAGCTGAGAACTCAGTTTAGGAGGGAGTATAATTTCAGTAGGCCCTCAACTTGATTCTAAATCATGCTCCTTCACCCTCCTCCTTATTCTTGTTGTTTAGGCCACTACATTTATTTTCTCTAATGAAGGTTACATGGATAAGGTAAGAGTTACATCAAACAGATAAAATCATAATCAGCTGATATAAATCATCAATTCTTAACTAGAATATCACGACACTTTGGGGAGTAACTTGTCAAGTTTTCAAGGGTCCCAGCATGGGCTGACTGTCTATAAAATTGATATGGATCATTTAATTGCATTATTAACGTTTCAGGATTCCCTACCCAACTCAATTTCCCAGATGAGTCTCAAGAAAACTGAAAATTACAAATCAGCTGAAAATTTGATAAGGCTGTGTGTATTCTAATTCTAATAGAACCTCTCCTATTTCCAATCTATCCTTGCAAGTTCTAATTACTTGGGCATTAGAGTTCTTTCGGTTGGAAAACAATTAGTGCTGTTAGCACAAAAATTACCTTAAAATATTAGCAAAAGAGTATACAGGGCTACATAATCCTATGTTAGATTTTAAAGACATAAGCCTATAAAACAGAACTGATTGTTTCATTTAAAGAGGCAGGAAAAATGCAAATTGCTAAAGGGTTATATTAGATCATTCCAAATTATTTAACAGAGATATTCCAAAAACTACATTTTCCTTCTATAATATATATAAGAAATACTGTAATTAAAACACAAAATATGAAAGCATGCTGTTATCACTCTCCCTGCCACCACACAAATCTTATTATTTCCCCAGATTTAATGGTAAAGTTGTCACTTGGTATTGGGGGCAGGAAGGTTGGCTCCAGGACACCAGATTCCCAGGATACCAAAATCTGAAAATGCTCAAGTCTCTTACATAAAATGGTGTAGTGTTAAGCTGAGCACAGTGGCTCATGCCTGTAATCCCAGCTCTTTGGGAGGCTGAGGCAGAAGGATCACTTGAGCCCAGGAGTTTGATAATAACCTGAGCAACATAACAAGACCCCATCTCTACAAAAAAATTTAAAAAATTAGGCAGGCATGGTGGCATGCGCCTCTAGTCCTAGCTACTCGAGAGGTTGAGTCAGCAGGAGGATCACTTGAGCCCAGGAGTTTGAGGTTGCAGTGAGCTATGATCTGGCCACTGTACTCTACCCTGGGCAACAGAGCAAGACCTGGTCTCTATAAAAAAAAAAAAAACAAAATAAAATGGTGTAGCGTTTGCATATAATTCATGCAAATTCTCCCATACATTACTTAAAATATCTAATACAATGTAAATGCTATTAGTTGTTATACTGTATTTTAAAAATTTGTATTACTTTTTATTGTCGTACTGTTACTTTTTATTTTATTGTTTTCAGATATTTTCGATCCCTTGTTGGTTAAATCTGCAGATGCAGAACTTTCCAATATGGAGGGCCAACTATTCCTAAAACTTAAAAAATGGTAAATAACCACTGAAATTTACACATTTTGATTAAAAAAGAAAAAGGCAAAACCAACACTGACAAACTTCTATTTGAACTACACATAAGCACCAGAAATAGGCTATCTCCACAGTTGGGAAAACAGATTTGATTAACACTGACTTTTCAAAGAACAAAATACTAGCAACAATCACAGTCATTAGCTTTTATATGTATCCTACACTGCTTATCATACGTTGCAAAGCCTAATGCAAGCTAAGACAGGGAACTTTGAATTCTAGAAATTCAAGGCCTAAAATGGGGAATGCTGCAGATCGACATGATAAAAGTCAAACAACCTGAGAAAGCCCTTCCAGGGGTGGGGAACCTGCAGCCTTCTAATATCAAGATTGTTCTTTTTAAAGCACCAGAGGAGGCAAGAAAAGCTTCACCTTTCTCTGATGTTTCCCTTTTAATAAAAGTATTTGTTCTGTAAAATTTGGATTCAGTCAAAAGGCCTCACTGATATTTTCAGTGATGTTCAAATTGTAAGTTAACAGCTGTTCTTAGTTTACAACAAACGAATTGCTTTTAAGAGTAGAGGTAAAGACACATGGCTGAGAAAAGTTCCCCATCTCTTCTCATTGTGCTGTGATGGGTTCTCATTGGCAAAAAAGAGGAGACGAAGAATAGGAAGTGAAGATAGGTGAGCTATTTGTTAGCTGTCTGGCAAAAAAGTCTTACTTTTCTACTCAAAGTACTTGGAAACCACGATGGATACCTGAAGACAGGAAGACATTAAAAAGTAGTTTACTATATGCAATGTGGTCTCATCACATTAGTCAATTTTAGTACTCTAAGGAGTACTTAGTTTAGTTAGTTTTCAGAAAAGGGAAGGGGCAGTAAGTAACCTACAAAAAAACAAGAATTAGATTAGCATCAGACTTCCCATAGGAAAAAGGATGCTAAAAAAAAAGTGCGCTGAGTGAAAATAATATTGAACCTAGAATTTTATACTCTGATCAAACTATTAATTAGTAAAGACCTGTGCCAGATGTATAAAGACTCAAACTTCCTTCTCACATATCAGACAATTTTACTTGATTTTGCTTTAACTTGACAACACACACACACACACACACACACACGCACACTCACCCCCTCCGCCCAATAAACAGTAGAACCAACCCAGAAGTGCGATGAAATGAAATCCCAGGAATGGCAATGTAGCAAATTTGAAAAGTAATCATTCCAAATTAGAACAAGTCAGAGGGCTCTGAGAAAAATGCCCTAAATGAAGTAGATTAAAAACATATGGCTGAGGGCAGGGTATGGTGGCTCAAACCTGTAATCCCTGCACTTTGGGAGGCCTAGGCGGAAGATCATTTGAGGCCAGGAGTTTAAAACTAGCCTGGGTAACACAGCAAGACCTTATCTCTAATTTTTTTTTTTTTTTTTTAAATTAGCTGGGCATGGTGGCATGCACCTATAATTGTAGCTACTCAGGAGGCTGAGGCAGGAGGATCACGAGCCCAAGGAGTTCGAGGGTACAGTGAGCTATGATCAGGTCACTGCACTCCACCCTGGGTGACCCTGGGGGGGGGGCGGTTAATAAAATTAAAATAACAAAACATATGACTGAGAAGTTGGAAGTTATTAATAAAATTTAAGCACATGGTTCTTCTGTTATAAAAAATATAAAAGGCAATCAGTCCAGGAAAATCAAACAGGAATGCAAATCCATCTGACCTTGTCATCTAAAGCATTCTTTTCTTTGAGTGGAATAGGTAGAGGTCTCAGATGATTACACTTCTCCAGGGCCAAACATGCTCTTTGTCTAGGAATATGTGGATATTCCTACCACAATGCAAAGTGTTTAACTGGTTTGTCAATAATTAAAATTAACCTAGGACAAGACATGAAAGATCACTGTTGTAGTTACAGCATAGGACTTAAGTAATATAAACTTTGATAAAATAACTCTACAGACAAAATCATGAACTAAATGTGAAAATCATAATAAATATCTGTAAGTAATGGCTTAAGTACAACAAATGTACTTTTAAATGCATTGCTGAATTCAGGGAAAAAAGGGACCCAGAAACAGGAAGGAAAACCGAAAACCTGGTTTGTATTATTGATGATCTTAGGAGCAACAAATTCATAAGGACTTATCACTGGGATCCCTGCATGAAGTCAAAACTTCCAAAGTAGTATACTTACAATAAAAAGGAAGATTAGAAAAAGTCATCCAACTGACATAGAGAGTCAACAAAGAAACATGTCTGCTCTGTCTGGACTTTTGAGCGAAGGAGGGGTTTCTCCCCTTAGAATTCAAACCCAGGTTCACTCCTCATACCAAGTCTGGAGTTCAAATTTTCACTACCAATGCTGCCTATGTACCTAGAAGCTTAGAAATTAATATGAAAACTCATCCAGAACTATGCTACCATTAGGACCTCTCTTTTTTTTTTTTTTTTGAGACAGAGTCTCACTCTGTCAACCCAGGCTAGAGTGCTGTGGTGTTACCCTAGCTCACAGCAACCTCAACCTCCTGGGCTCAAGCAATCCTCTTGCCTCAGCCTCCTGAGTAGCTGGGACTACAGGTGCATGCCACCACACCCAGCTAGTTTTTTCTATTTTTAGTAGAGACAGGGTCTCACTCTTCCTCAGGCTGGTCTCAAACTACTGACCTCAAGCAATCCTCTTGCCTCAGCCTCCTGAGTAGCTGGGACTACAGGTGCATGCCACCACGCCCAGCTAGTTTTTTCTATTTTTAGTAGAGACAGGGTCTCACTCTTCCTCAGGCTGGTCTCAAACTACTGACCTCAAGCAATCCTCCTGTCTTGGTCTCCCAGAGTATTAGGATTACAGGCGTGAGCCACTGCGCCCAGCCACTAGGACCCCCTGATAGACGTAAATACAAAGGTGAATCAGGAAGGGTACTCCCATTACCTGCACCAGTGGTCCTCAAACTTTTGCTTGTCTCAGAAACCTCAGATTGCTGGCCCTACTCCCCAGTTTATAACTCAGAAAGTTGGGACTGGGGCTCAAGAAGTAGCATTTCTACCAATATCTCAGGTGATGCTTTATGCTGTTGGTCCAGGAACACTTTAAGAATCAATGAACCAAGAGATAAAGGACTCTCTCGGGAAAAATATCTAATAATAAATTA